TGACCACGCGGCAAAGATCACACGATTGACCAATGGGGTGCTATCACGCAAATGTCACCGTACACACGTGCGGGTGGATATGTTGAAATAAAAATGAATTTAATACAAACTTGATTTAATGTACACAACAATGGATCTTACGCACCAGTTTCACCTCTTAATTGTTATTTTTACGTAAATACATACTTATAAGTATTTAATTTAAATTATTTTGTGTTTCGTTTCTTTTTTTTAACTGAAAATTAGAAGCGGATTGGAAGGAGTCAAATGTTGTTTGTTAAATGTTTTAGTTGAGATTTGATTTGTGTTTTATTGTAACATTAAAAGGTTATCTTTGAAGATGACATGATGTCGTTATTTACTCGTGAGGTAAATTAAAATTAAATATAAATTACTATCAGACTGTTGTCATAAAATCGACCATAAATAATATATAATTAATGTTTATATTTGTCGTAAATGTTACTGCATGTTTTTATTATTCTTACTATTAAATATTCGAGCATCAACCATCTCGACGTTTTGTATAGAAAATACTATTTTATAAGCATTTCGATAATTTATATGTTACATTTATTTATGTTATAAAAAATGAGATCGTTAATGTTCCTGTTAACATTATGTTATGAATTTTTATGGTGACTTTTCTCATTTTGAAAATATATTTGTTTAAAATTGTATTAATTATATATTTTTTATAATAAACAAAAATGGAAATTTCCATAACATCACCCAGCTGCCATTTTTATCCATTCGTACCGTGTTCATGTAAAGTTGTCCTAATAAAATATAATTAACAGTTAGTTTACTCATAAAGAACGAATACCGATCGTTATCAAATAGTAATGGCCTCTTTACTACGAATTAGTTTCGAAACTAGTGTAGCTACCTCCCTCAGCAATTACTGTAAACTGACAGTCTCTTCGTGAAATGTCGTGGGCTTTAGGGTTTGTTAAAAGAAATCGTACTCAATGATTGACATATATTTAAATATCTCTTTGTAACAGTATATAAAATCGTTAAGTATGAATAAATAAAATTGGAGGATCAGCAAGCACTTAATGACGGAAATTTACAGCCGTTATAAAAGTGTTTTTGTATAAAATAAACGTGCTTACAAATCAATGTTGACGGTAGGTGCAATTTTATGAACTAAACGAAAATATGGTTTCGTATGTCATTATGGAAGAAAAATAAATTTTATTATATTTATACATATAAATATATATTGTTATTAATAAATAATTAAAATCAATTATGATACTACTACTACGGGACCGTCGATGTGTATTATGTTCGAGAGCACGCTGTATACGGGTTATAGGTACAAAACTAGTTAGTGGACTATGGAAGCGATAACCAATCAATCTGGATTCGACACGGTCAGCGATCGACGTCAGTGCCAGAGTTTATGATCATTGGGAATTTATACTACACTCGATGTTTTCGATGTACCTACTCACATAACTTATTTCCTGTTATACTGAAATTAGATGCTTTCACACATATTTTTATTAGTTACATTTATTATTTCGTGTGAATCTTGTTTTTTTCTATTGGGCCTCATTCCATCACTTTTGGACGTATTTAATATAAAATAGGTATATGTATTTTAATTCTTTTTCCATGTTCTTATTATCACGAATCATCATAGAATATACCGACTTCATTGTCGCTAATTACGTATCTACACGGGAATGTTTATACTTTATAATCTTATAGAATCAGCCACGTACATACATATATATATACCACAGAATAAATAATCATCAAACACAAATACAGAACGGGAAACACAAGCCCGATTCCAATTACTGCAACACCATGAAGACCGCAGTTTATTCGTGTGAATCGTCATGTGGTGCTCGCCCTTCGGGTCCTTTTACGAGGGTTGTTGGGAGGGAGGTAGAGTAACAGAGATAAGGTTTGTTTTGGTAATGAGTTTTCGTGTTCTCTTATATTAAATTGACTTTATTCTGTGATGATACACCTTGTGAATTACGATGGAAATAACCTAATGGTAATGTTGACAATGATAGGAGATTTGAATCTGTATGATAATTTGATATCACAACCGGACATGGGAATACTTTTAATGTTTAAGTAAGTACTCTAAATCTTTTACGTACGTATATATTTATATGAAGTAAGATCTTACGTCAATAGTTTTATATAAATAGTTGAACAATAAAATGTAAAACGGAATGAGTTGGATTAAATGAAACATGTATCAATTGTTAATGGGTCAGTTAATATGTAATAAAAATAATAATAATTAAAAATTTATGACTTCTTAGAATCTAAGTGTTGCTGGTAGTAGGTATATACTGAGAATTGTTTGAAGTACAAACAATATTGATATAAAATCATAAAATAATTAAAAAAACATTCCATAACATATAAAGACTCTTTGCATATATTATATAGGTTAATAAATAATAGCCACATTAATTTATCGAATAGATTTTATTCTTACAGACAATTCCATTACATTTTACTCTCTAAATACATATAATAAATAGTATGTACCGATCATAACTTAGTTTAAGTACATACATCCTGTGTCCGTTACATTTAACTTTCATCAACTATTAATTTAATACTATAGGGGGGACCGGAAAGTAATGTCGTTTTCTTACGCTAAATACAAACACATACATTTTTAACGAGTCTTTATTTTTAATCAATGATGTATTCCCCATCATTGTCAATAACCTTTTGCCATCTAGTGAGTAAATTTTCAATTCCTGATCGATAAAAATTAATTGGTTTTTCGGCAAAATATCTAGAGATGGCATTTTGGATATCATCCAAATTTCCAAATGTTTTGCCACTTAAAAAGTGTTGCAGCGCTCGGAATAAGTGGAAATCCGACGGTGCAACATCGGGCGAATATGGTGGATGAAGCAGCACCTCCTACCCCAATTCATTAATTTTTTTTAGAGTTCGCCTTGCGCAGTGCGGTCTTGCGTTGTCATGTTGGAGAATGACGCCTTTTCGGTTGACAATCGCTGGCCACTTTTCAATTAAAGATTGATTGAATCGCTGCAATTCTTCGCTGTAGAGGTCTGCAGTAACAGTTTGTCCAGGTTTCACTAATTCAAAATGAACAATGCCGCGAATACTCCACCAAACACACAAAAGCGCTTTTTTGGGGTGTAAACCTGGCTTAGCAGTACTCCGAGGGATTTCATTTGGAGAGAGCCACTGCCTTTTGCGTTTTGGGTTATCATACAGGACCCATTTCTCATCTCCTGTGATCAAGCGATCAAAAAACGCTTCTGTGTTGTGTCGTTGAAGCAATAAGTTGCTTGTGATTGATCGGTTAGCCTTATTCTGTTCGGACAGATTATGCGGGACCCAAACACCTGCTTGCTTACTTTCCCAATCTGCTTCAAATGTTCTTGGATGGTCGACCAAGGTTTGTTGAGACTGTTTGACAATTCCTCGATCGTTTGACACGGATTTGCTTCCACTTGCGCCCTTAACACGTCGTTGTCTAACGCTGATGGTCTTCCTGATCGATACGAGTCGGAAAGATCAAAATTACCCGATTTGAACTTGGAAAACCACCTTTGGCATTTACGAATGTCCAGTGCATTTGAATAAACATCGCAAATGTTTTTGGTAGCAACTGTTGCGTTATTTCCCTTGCGAAACTCAAAGAGCATGCAATGCCGGATGTGTACCTCTTCTGGTATTTGGCCGGCCATTTTACCCAAAATTCCAAAAAAAACATTGTAATTCAATTGTCTATAAGTAAAGAAATCACTATACCTCACAATGTCTTTGGTACGCCTCTGAACCAAACAATGAGCTGACAAATGGCAATCAAGTATTGGCATGCGCAGAAACGACATTACTTTCCGGTCCCCCTAATATAATTATATTTTATAATACAATACAAGTTAATTGTTTTACTTTAAACTTTCGTAATTTTTTTAAATTTTTCTTTCAATAGATTTCGGGATAGACATCGAATTTCTACTTTATATTGTAAGTAATTAACTGGTTTGTTGGAACTATTTACTGTTTATAAATATTATTAAAAGTAATATATCTTTAAAACATTAATTCCGATGAAATCATTACTACACGTACTATTTAACATGTCTCCTTAACAACGGTTATAAATTTAGATTTACATATTGAATTTAATACATTTATATAAAAAAAGGATATACTTCACATATAAAATGACGAGTGTATAAACAGTTGTGTGTTTCATTCATAGACAGTGCAATACCCATGGTATATTAATGAATATAATACTTATAACAAATTGTTATTAATGAAATGTTACCATATAATATTTACATTTATTTACTTACAGATAAAAAGTACTTGAATTTTATCTATCATATCATGTATTCGATTTACTAAATTATTAGCTATTTTATATATAGAAATTAATCAATAAATACAGACAAATTAAAAAATGCTTTAATTTCTATCTTAAAATAGGAACCAAAATAATATCGCTTTTATTTTCAAAATTTCTAAACTGTAAATAAATTAATATTATTTAACTTATAATAAACACTAAACACAGTATCTGTACACTATTCACATTTAATAACTACATATATATTCTAATAATTATACCTTTAAATAAAAGATCGGAATATATTAGCTAAGTTAAAACGACCACTGAAAATAATGTATAAATCAGTAACAGTCAGAAAAGTTTGAACAATATACCAAGCAGTTAAGAAGCTCGTATAATATTTACACACAGCTACATACACATATATTTCGAAACTACCAACTAAACAATGCATATATGTGAAACATTCAATACACTGTTTTTAAAAATATATGTATAGTAAGATTAAACATAATATCCGGCTGAAAATTATTAGACGATCAGAAAAAAAAAACAACCTGTCACTGTCATATAAACTTGGAGACACATTGAACGTCACTGTCAACGTCACTTTGTCCACTTAAAACCCCGTCGAGCCGCATCAGTCGTGGTAGTCTCGCGGCTCCGGCTTCAGCTACCAGACCAGCCCCTCGGGGTGCAGGGGGGGCGGGGCGTCCCCGAAAGTGAACTCCGGGGACGAGGGTCGCGGCAGCACTAGGTGGTCGGGCGGGGGGAACTGCTCAGGGAACTCGCCGCCCTGCAGCGACTCCATACCACCTGCGAAACGACCTGCTCTCCTTAGACATGGCTTATTTGTCTCACAGTTACGTTCTTGCTCAAATATTGATAAAGGGAAACTAGAGTTACTTTTTAACATAAAATTTTTCTGTCTGGAATAGTTTTATTTTGAAACCAAATGATATGTGACAAGGACTTAAATGGTGAGAAGTCTACCTGGCTGGTTGAAGGGCATGTTCGGTGGAGGATGGAAGAATGGAGCATCATGGTGGAACGGCGGGCCATATCCAAACTCGAACTTGCCATCTGCTGTCGCGAAGTATGGGAACCCCGGAGGCCCCTCCTCGAGTCCCCCGGGGGACAGATTCATTGGGAAGCCTCGCATCTTGCGTGAAGAACCAAAGAAAGGACCCCTTCCCATAGATGTCAACTGCTTCAAACGTCTCTCCTTTGACCTCTTGTTTTGAAACCAAACCTAAGACAAACATTTATATTACTGGCTTTTATTCATAAAAACAACTTTATAACTTTATATAACAATTGGGTCTAAACAAACTGAAAGTATCATTTCTTTGTTACAAAAGCAAGGAAATATATCGCCATTCGGAAATTTCATAGTCGGTTAGCGCATTCACATACTTTTGCGGTTTCAAATTATGTTTGTTCTATTGTATACAGTTATATCATGTAACCAGTGACCGCAGGTACAAAGAAAACATTTATTTATTTTACTACTTAAAGTCTTCATGTAAAATTAATATGAGAAAAGTTTCGTTCCGAACTACATAATATGTATACATACTTATGTTAATAATATATTTTGGTTGTCAATAGTTTTAACTTGATTAAATATAAATAATGTTTTGTTATTAGAACAATTTTCATAGATGAATAACATTTTTATTAGTATTAATTAAATCGTAGACATTAGTTCACGGTCAGTTTACGCGTGCGAGTAATCTATAAATGGCGAGTTTTGCACCTCTCGTGCCCGCTTGCAGTTTAGTTTAGCGTATTAGTCATGGCACATGACATACATACAGCACCTCAGGCACTAGCCTTATCATTAAACATAGATTGAAATCATATTCATTTGGTAATCTACATTATAGTTAAAAAAAAAAAAACTATTTAAAACACGCGCACATACGAGTATGCTGTCTTATGTAAATTACTTATAAACGATTATTTATCGCCATTAATATAATTCAAAATTCACATGAAACAAAGACTGTGTGAGGATTTTCAGGTACATTGAATAGATAACATTATAATTTAACGCTAACATCCATTGTTAGATAGCATTTTAAACGATGAAGCCAAGGTCGTGCAGCATTCCCCTGCCAATCCAACATCTTGTAAATAATTAAGGAGGTGTGAAACAACTTAAATCCAGCGAAAAATAAGCCACGTTCTTATTTCACACACATTAAAATACAATTTGTTTGACTTAACTAGTTTGAAAAACTGCAACTGATTTTGACATTTACAAATAGTATAAAAAAACTGTGCGTTAATTTCGACTATCGATTTTGCGTTTCAAGCTCCGGGGTATATCAATAATTTATAGGATTTTCTTCGAGCATTACAAGAAATTATTAAAATAAATACCTCAAGGATGTCTTATGCTTACAATTACTATTAATATACCTAATAATATATATAAGTAGTAATAACACTACAAACTTAATGTTTACGAGTATGTTGAGCACAAACTACCTAGTGCTTGGATTTTAATTAATTTGCTTTATCGGAATTATATAATATTTAATATATGCTACTGTTTTTAATGTTTTTGAAAGCAAACATTTAAATTGCAAGGAAACTGATATAAGGTGAATCCTGTGTACCATTATATTGTTGCAAACAATTTTGATAGGATTGTATCTTCTGAAACTCGTAATAATATTTCAATACTTTAAATACATTTTATTCAATTGCTATTTACAAATAATAGCTGGCGATATTATTATAATATTCAGCAAAAACTATTAATTATCAGGCAACTCGATTGCTGATATATAATTTTGATTAATTCTATAGAAATGTCCTGTTTACTTAATGATATTAGAATTTACACTGGTGATATTAAATTGGTGATTTACTATTTACAATGTTATAAAAGTTTAAAATAATATAGTAATATGAATAGTCCGTTTGTTTATACAAATGCTGTCCTACTAAAAATAATAACGTATAATTTGATGAAAGGAGGTTTTTTTGTTTTTTTTTTTTAAACTCACCAAAACATTGTCTAGGATTTAAACTTTAAGAAGAAACAACAGGTGTCAGATACTTATTTTATATGGTAACACATAGTACGAATAAAATATTGCATATATTAAAAAAAAACCTAAAAGTTCCTTGTAATAAACACGTGCCTGTTAAGTGTGAGATATTTCAACCGTATAAGTATACAGCTGTAAAACAACCATTAGAATTTTAAATGAGATAAAATGATTTGTATTTTAGATAAACTAATTGCATTTATTCGAGCAAAAAGCCACATCCTGAATTCCTCAATGAGACAGATTGAAACAAAGGAATTATCGCTTTATCGAAGTAAGTGAATATGGGATGGTCATAAAACAAAAAGAACACACTATCTCTGTTTTATTCATTTCATATCGTGCGTAAGTGACTTAACATTAAATTTTAACGACCGTCGGTAGCCCGGACTAGAGCTTTTCAATTTTTTAAGCCATTCAAAATATATAAAATTCGACATATCCCGTTACGTTAACTTATTACGGTAATTACTTAATACACAGTTCAGTTCAGTTCAAATTGCCCAAACGTCGAGCAATTTCGTATGGTTTTATAACCTCTAATTAATGTTACACAGATTATTTTATATTCAACTAACCGCTTCCCGAAACTTCATGCGCATGTTATTATATATACGAACACTCGCCTATAAACCTGTAGACTCAGTTTCTTTGTTGTTTTTTTTCTAATACACGGTACTGTTAAGTTTTATAGGTACATCGTTTAGTAGTTATTATAGGAAATATTATCAAAATATCCATTCATTTGTATGTATTTGTTGTATTATTATTTATTTGGAGTTACAATACGTTAACATGAGTCGGGACTCGTCTATCTTGTATAGTGAGCACGTATTTGGGTGACGACGCCGAGACCACAGCTCTGCCCAGCGGGGATCCTTGAGAACAAGCCGAGTGGTGTTAAACTCTATATTTCATACGCCGCAAGAGACTTCACTTTTACCGGCCTTATAAATACAATTTTAGTATATTGTTAATGAAACTTAAATAATTACACGTTTTTATACAAACATATAGAATTCTATTTTAAAAATTCAGTTGATTTCGTTAATGATACTATAGTGTTAGAACATAAGCGACTTTCTTTATTATCGACAAAAATCTATTCAACGTAACCGTCATGATGGAAGGATCAGGTCGGCAGAAAATAAAGAGATGATTAATATAAGATGCGGACATTGTTCTCTTCACCCTTAGTATAAATAACGCTTTACCTGCGGCGCCCCCCAGCGCTAATGAGTCGACATTACGTTGTATCGGCAGTGTCTATAAAATACGCCATCGACATATTTCGAAATACTTTATGTTACGGCCGCGACCTTCGTTCGAGAAGTCGTTTTCATTAATTGCGAGAACTTTCGAGTAGGAAGAGTTTGGTTTCAAAAGCGGGCTGGATGTTACTAGTTTCGGTGTAATTTGGCAAGTAAATGATAAGATAGTGTTTCGGTACCGGAGTTGAAGCCGCAGCGGGTGGCTGGCTCCCCGCCGCGATCCACACAATACCTAACTATAATACTTAAGCACCGAACAGTTGTTCGGCCAGCGTTTTGTTTTCATTTTTCTTCCCGCCATAAACAATGTCATGCGCCATATGGGAACGGGTAAACGCGAATTTACACCCCAGCGGTTAACAAAGACTAATGACGTACTCTTAAAAAGATACATATTTTAGTACTTTTAAATTAACTACGCAAATAAAATGTCGACACGCGTCTAGCGTGGAATAATCTAATATGATTGATGCCTGTATATAAATATTTGAGGGCTTCAAATTATACAAATCAAGATTTATAAACTACAACAATAAACACATTTGAAAATAATTAACATTTAAAAAAGGAACGTGGAATAAGATGGCGTCACTGAAGCCGCGGCCACACCGTGCGCTGAACGCACCATCTACACTCAATTGGCGTGGCAAAAGGTAAAAGTAAATTATTTCCTCGCGTTCATACATCTTACTTGTGTACATTTCAAATGAACTCCGCTGCACGCTCGACGCAAAGATTTTAAGGCCGCGATTAAACAACGGTTTAGGTTGTGTTATGTTATTTATATATAAAATCAAAGCACTATATAGTTTTAATACTAGTATACGTAGGTATAGACGAAGCGTACCTTTTCTCTCCACTCCCATACCTTGAACGAGATCGTTCTGTTATTTAACGACTCTACGCTGACAGATTGACATATATACGCCATAAATAATACATTCGAGAGAATTGAATATTTATAAGTTCATTATTATATTTTCTCTTGATTATATATATTTTTCATTTATTTTATACATAAAGACGAGACGTCCCTCTAAATTTGTCGTCATCCCATTCGTGACACGTCTTTTAGTTTTATTTTAGTTAATTATTTAATCTTCGCTGCGTTCTCGTTCACTTTCTTTTCAAACTTTCCCATTCATTTTGATTTTTTTTTATGTTGTAACATGATGTTTGCATTATTGAATATTTTTAGAAATCGATTTTAATGCACGCGGATGTCTTTTGAGTCCATTCAACATAGGAATAGTATAGTGGCAAGAAATTTGCTACTTCTATGTAAATGTACATGAAAACATAGTAATGATACTTTTTAATATATTTCTATTTTGTTAATGTTATAATCTATATGAAAAAAACATTCTAATTACTAGCTCAAGTTAACCAATCAGTGTTCAGTGCTTACAAATGGAACTGTTATCATTCTGATAACACACGGCTCCACTATTGGCTACGGTTTCCAATATGGCTGCCATTATCTGAATCCATTTGAGCGTAACTTTTATTTATTTTCAACAGCGATAAGTGTATTTGTAGTGACAAAATGAATTGTGTATTTATTCAAGCAGCGTTTATATACGTATTTTTTATGTTACAATAGTTTGACTTTAAAAACATTATATGTATTATATACATGAGCATTATTTGGCTTAAGAAAAAAAATGTCAAATTGATACTCTCTTAACTGATGAACCTTCAAATCTCCACGAATGTTCTTGCATTGCCTCCAAAGCAATACAATCACTACAAGTTTCGTTATAAGAAAAAGTCTAAAAAACCGTGATAGTACAAATAGGAAGTTTCAAATACGTCACTTGCGGAATACGATTGAGCGCTCGACCGTTGCTGAGTGTTGGCACTTTTGACATAGACTATAAAACAACATAATTTACTATTACTAGAATTATTACTCT